GATTTTCACAATATCACGTTGAAACAGTATAAGCTAGGTTTCGAATGTTCGAGTAGCTCGTAAAATATAGGCATAGATCGAAAAGTTTATTGAAAGAGACTTATCGATATGCACGGGATGTGCGCTTTCAGTTTGTGTATGTATCTCATATATATATATATACACTGTACGCACCGTAGCACAGTAAGGGCCAGCAATATCGGGATGAGTTATTGTTCGACGAGCACAATGCACTCAAATATGGAATGAACCCGGGAAATTGATACAAAAAAAAATCGCTACCAGTTTTTCCAAGGTTCTATCAATTTTTTTCATCTTATCCAAATCAAAGCCACAGTACTCTATATCGGTACGTTACTCCCAAAAAAATATATATATATACGTATATTTGATTGAAAAAGCATTCCCTCTACATTTTTACTTTTTTAAATGACTACTTGAAATATAAATGATGATCTTAATTGTTGAATTCTGTGTTTCATTTGACTTAAGGTGAAATCAGCTGTTTTTGATAGTGGTTGCCATTTTTGTGGTCACATGACCATTCTGTTTAAACTCTTAATTTGTCTTAGTCAAGGTTGTACCATCGTGAAGGCAGGACCACCCCAAGTTTTTAGATAAGAACAAAAACAAAAATAATGTTTTATTTTATTTATTGCAGTTTAATTACCTCTCTATCTCTCCTAAAATAAACGAATAATCACGAAGACATGATTATTATTTTAAAGGAATGAACATAAAATAAAAGTTTCGTTTCATGCTTAATGCAAAGTGATACTAAATTTCAGTGTTATTTTAATATACATCGTTAAATTTGTTCTTTTAAAAGGAAAATTGACTTTAAAATTGCTAATCTCAAATGAAAACTCCATTTACTTTTCTTAGCATACATCTCCTCCTCTCTCTCTCTCTCGTCTTCATCTAAAGTATATATATTTTTCCCGCTATCTCTTGCATATACCACTGATGCAAATCACCTTTTAGGCTAATGCATCCTGCGCATAAAATCACAATTAAAATCACAAGGACATTCGGTTTCGTGATTCGTTACCTCTTTTTCTCTCTTTAGATACGATTTGCTCGTTCATCTCTTTCGTCCCTCGATGCCATTTAAAATCCACATCCTCGTAATTCTTTAGCGGCGGGACCTTTTGGTCCAACAGAAGCTTTATTGGCACAAAAGATTTATATACGCATCGCGTAAATGTGTTTGCGCCACCATAGTTTTTCTCTGATGGAAAAATGTGTAATTGTAAATTATCAATACATTTGCTTTTTAGCAATCAGATAAATTGGAAATTGTCTCATTTCTTTAGAGATAAAAATCCCTGATTATATATATATATGTATCATATTTTATATCGAATTTTTGATGCAATTTATTAATTAATCAAAACATTCGTTATCTACACTTTCAATTATTTTATTTACGAGACCCAAGTTATTTTGCAAAAAAATTAACCAAATGAAAACAGTTAAATAATCGATTTCGTCATTTGTCATAATTCTCGTCAACTACCGCACTCTTCTCTAGTAAAAATTTAGTGACTTTATTGTTAAAATTAAAAGTTATTGTAAAGTTACTAAATTTTTAATAGAGCAGGGTGTGGTAGTTGACGAGAATTATTAATGTCAAGTGGGGACAATGAAAACCAACTCACTATACAAGTCGTTGAGTAACTACAAAAATAATCGAACACTTGACTTCAGCAGTTTCCTGTGGCAAATGAAGCGGGAAATTTAAATATTTTACAGCTCAATAATTTAACACCTTTAAACATAAATGTATTTTAGATTTAGAATAATATAAAAAAATGACTGAAAAGTGAATTTATTATCTATCTTAATTTAATATTTCATTATCTATTTTTATTAAAAATTATACATAAAAATTATTTATTTCTAATATAAGTTTCATTATATTACTTACAATAATAGCTGCAAATAAGCTTCGAATTAAATTTCCATTCGCCAAATACTCAAAGAAAAAAAGCACAAAAGAAAATCACAATACCTTAGATATTATTCAATGATAAAAAATCTATTTTACTTTGATTCTAGTATTTTTCTTAATATTTATTTGCGAATATATTTTTTGAAATTTATTTATGTAATATTTTAAAAAGCACAATTAAATTACATTCATTAAATTAAAAAACCAACTTATCCAAACTTTAACTTATCCAACTCGCAAAGAAGTAGTTATTAATGATAATTAATAGTTATTATTATTTGTTATTCATGATCTAATATGAGGAAATTTAGTAAAATTTCCAAAAATCAATCTCTTGCTTCCTGTCTCTCTGTTGAAAGTTTCTTGCCATTCTCACAAAGAGAATTGGAAAAACTTTAGCAAAATGTAGAAATTTATTCATGATCTAGTATGAGGAAATTTGGTAAAATTTCCAAAAATTAATCTTCTTCTTCTGTTCTTGCGGTCTCCTATTACTGAAAGTAGAACTTTATTAATCCTTAATGCAAATCTTAATTATACTCACGTGACGAGATTCTTTTGACTTTTTGGCCTCCATCGGATTTTGGAATCTGAAACATAAGAAAAAATATTTTCTAACCTACAAAGTTTACTAATCCATGCATTAAGATGCATGAATTTACAAAAAATTTCGAATTATAAAATTGCTATTTTTCGACGATTATTATTATCAATTTTGTCACTTTTTAATTTTAATCTCACTTATTCCTTCACTTTTTGAACTTCGCCGGTATTTATTTAGGAAGATCGCTTTGTTTACTTTTCGTTGAAAATACTCGTGTCACACGAAATCTCCCGATGTTGTCAAGTACTGCTGGAGTCATAAAGCAACCATTAAAATTTAGAAAATAGTAGCTTCACAACTCTAGCAGTTGTGAATAGCAGTGACGTTACTCTAAATTCTCCCCCTTCTAATAATAATTGAACTAAAAAAAGCATTTATATTACTTTCTTTTTAATTTCAATTTTTTCCCTAAATTATAAATAATAAATAGAATAAAATTCTGTAACAAAGATGGTAGTATTCAAATATAACTGCATATATATATATATAATGTTATATGTATAGTCATCCAACAAACTCAAGAGCAGAATAAACATAGTACACTCGAACTGGCAATAATCGATTCAAAAGGGCGATCCATATTCTGCAATATGGTCTCAAAACTTTATAACTCTCAAAGTTTTGTTATTCAAAAAAATTTTTTTTATGAGAAAATCTTCAAATATTATTTAATATTTACACAACTTTTTCTTTCACAAATTTAACATTTATTTATTCAAAAAAAAAAGAGAATATAAAAAAAAATTTCATAAATACCAAAAACCAAGCTTTGGTTAAAATCAACAACAATTTTTTTTTTATATATGTATACATGGAATATGAAATCTTGCATATATTTATTATATAAGATTAAAATGTTTTTTTGCAAACAAAGTTAACAATTTGCTTTAAACTGTATATTCATGATGTTTGAATATATACGGTTCGCATCACAGAGTAAAAGAAAAAAAATATGACTATAAAGAACTGACAAAAGAGTACCATCAAAAATATATATCTCTTTCTACACCCAATGTTCCTTTAACTACAAACGATACAATTTCTCTATGAATCTCTGATCTTTCTTCTTTTGGGCTCTTTTGACTTTTTGATGTTAACAAAGTCAGGCGGGCATATAGCTTCAGAGCACATTTAAACATATATGTATATATACATATACAAACACTACTCTATAGCTATACGCAAATGAAAGCAATAAAATGGAAAGTAGCATGTGTTCTATTTTAGCATTTTATTTCATTTTAACTTTAACTTTATGCATGTGCACTCACTTTTGACGTGACTTTCTGTTATTTGCTCTTTAGCCCCTAAGGGAAGGGAAAAAAATCATTATTTTTTCATTGCAGAAGATACTGTGGCATTTTAAAAAGTCCCTTTTTTCTCATTTTATATATTTTCAAAAATTTTTTTAAATAAGTTATTAATTATAAATGGTTTTAAAAAAATTTCTTTTTTTGAAATAGTAATAAATTGTTCACTTAAATTTATTTTTAAAAAAATTACTTATGGCAGTATTTGGAATTTTTAAAAAATAATTTTAATTTCGTAATTAACAACATCAAAAACAATTTTGAAGTGAAATGAAAAAAGTTATTAAAAAATTGTCAACCATATTGGGACAACCATTTAAAATTTTTGAAAACTAACTACAAATTCATAATCAGCAATTACAAAAAATTTTCCGTGTGAAGTTTTAAATGAATTAAAATAGTTTAAAAAAAAACCATTTGCCATTTTAAATCCAACATTTTGAATTTTGAAATTTAATGATAATAAAGTACAAGGCATTTTTTTGTTTATTCAAGCTCCTGTACAAATATTAAGTGCTTTAAAATTTTCTCCATAGTCATTCTAGATGTATTTTCGTTCGCTGATGAAGGATTTGGGGACAAAATTGACAATTTTGTGACTATAGATTAAACATTTTTTTTTAATATAAATAAATATTTTCTTAGATAAAAATCAATAATTAATAATTGACGGAAATAAAAATAAAAAATATTCTCAAAACTTAAAGAAAATTGAGTTCAAGAAACTAAAAATTTTCTAAATTCAGAAAAAGTGAATTTAAAAAGTAGTTGAAAATTTTAAAGTAAAAAAAAATTTCGTATTTTTAGTTAAGAAAAACTTGAGAAAAATTTCAGTATTTTTTTAATTTTAAAAATTTTCAACCTTTTTTTAAAAAACCTACGAACAATATTTACACGTGGAAAAATGTCATGACCTAATAATCACATATTTTTAATAAAATTTACTCATCAATTTTTATTCTTTGTACACGTAAAAAAAACATTTATTTCGAAAAATTTTATTTTCTCGTTATCACTGGAAAATACAATTTCACATGCAAATCTAAAACATGTCATTTTTTTATTAATATCGATAGTACCTTTTATGGACATTACACATATGTTATTCTCTCATAAAATTAACTAATAAAAATATGTATGACGTTGCTTATTGAAATATAATTTTCATCGTACACATTTTTGACGCATTTTATAATTTAAATTGAAATTCAAAAGTTTATTTTTCTTTTTTGAGAATTTAAAATTTTAGTTAATCAAAATGAAATTTTTTATTTATCTTCATGTACTAATATTAACAATTGTGTGCACACTAAATTCAAAAGCAGATGATATGTATAGCCTTCCTGAAAATTTGGATTTACAAATGGTGAACATTGTAAGAAGAATAATTTTATAATTTATATATAATGTTAAATAAATATATTTTTTTTTAAATTGCTGTTAAATTTTGTTATTCAAAAAAAAAACAAGTGTCTTATTTTCCAATTGTTTTTAAAAAATTTTGGATCTCAGCTTTTTAGACATGGAGATCGAACACCTGAAGTTGCTTATGGCGAGACATATCCAAAAGATCCGTATATAAACGAGACATATTATCCAATAGGTTATGGAGCTTTGACAAACGTAATTTACATTTAATGAGATTTATTTATTAAAATTATTTCTTAATTTTCAAATGATTTTAATGTGGAAAAAAATTGAAGTTTACTTTCTTGATACTGTTGTGGAAAATTTTTAGTTTTTTGTATCATAAAAAAATGTTTTTCTCAATTTTTTGACCCCGAAAACCACCAGGTACCATGTTTTATTGAAATATAATAAATTTTTTATTTTTATGTACGCCATATTCGATCCGCCATTTTGAATTTTTGAAATCTGACTTCAGATTCGTAATCAGCGACCCTGAAAACCCCTAAGTTAGCATATTTATTGAAATATAATCAATTTTTAATTTTTATGTAGGCCATATTGGATCCGCCATTTTGAATTTCTGAAATCTGAATTCAGATTCGTAATCAGCGATCCCGAAAACCTCCAGGTACCAAGTTTTATTGAAATATAATGAATTTTTAATTATTATGTACGCCATATTGGATCCGCCATTTTAAATTTTTGAAATCTGACTGACATAGAGCTCATTTTAAAGTCCACGATTCAAATTTTAATTTCTGATGTCAGCGAAGTTCATAGTTCTTCAAAATTTAGGGGTACAATTTTTCAAAAATGGCAAAAAACGCTATATTTAGGGTTTTCAACCCCTGTGTTTTAAAAAACGTGACGTGATGGGAAATTTTTGAGCCCAAATTCGTGTTCAGCACGAAAAATCAGTTCGGAAACACTATGTTCCATTTTATTCGCAAAACCCATGCAGGGCAGTGTAATGAATCTGAAGTCAAAATTCAAAATGGCAGATCCAATATGGCGTACATATTTTTAAAAATTCAATGGATTCGCTTGAAACTTCTTACTTGGGGGTTTTTGAGATCGCTGATTACGAATCTGAAGTCAGTTTTAAAAAATTCAAAATGGAGGACTCAATATGGCCAAAAAATTTTTTTAATTTGATTGGATTCGCTTGAAACTTGTTACTCGGGGGTTTTTGAGGTCGCTGATTACGAATATGAATTCAGATTTTGAAAATTCAAAATGGCGAATCCAATATGGGCGAGAAATTTTAAAAAAATTTAATAGATTAGCTTGAAACTTGTTACTCGGGAGTTTTTGGGGTCGCTGATTACGAATCTGAAGTCAGATTTTAAAAATTCAAAATGGCGGATTCAATATGTCAACAGAATTATTATATAATTAATCTAATTTGTTTAAAACTTTATTATTTGGGTTTTTGATTTTTTTCTATTACAATCTATTTATTTGGTTGTCATATTGGATTCGCTATTTAAGATTTTTAAAATTTGACTTCAGATTCGCAATCAGCAACCCCAAAAACCCTCAAGTAACAAATTTCAAACGAATCCATTGATTTTTTAAAAATATGCCCGACATATTAGATCCGCCATTTTGAATTTTTTAATTCGACACTTTTCATTTGAAAGAGTAATAGTTGACGATTATTTTAAGCCGTATTAAGTTGATCTTTTTTCATTAAAAAAAAAAATTAGTAATAACAATAATTTTATAGAAGGGGAAATACAGAGCTTTTAAATTAGGAATGTTTCTACGAAAAAGATATAATAAATTTCTTGGTGATATTTATATTCCTCAAGATGTGACTGCTAGAAGTACAAATGTGGAAAGAACAAAAATGACTTTACTTCTTGTTCTTGCTGCATTGTTTCCGCCATTAGATTCATCAGAAAAATGGCATTCAAATTTAAATTGGCAACCAATACCAATAACATATGAAGAAGGTGAAAATTTCCTACAAACATCTTCTGGATGTCCCAAGTATGTATATACCTTTTTTTTAATGGCAAAAAAGTAAGAAAAAAAATTATTTTTTTTTTTTTCATTTTGAAGGTATAGAAAAATATTACAAGAAATACGAGAATCATCTACAGTAATAGAAGAGTCAAAAAAATTTAAAACACTATGGGATGAATTGTCAAAGTTTACAGGAGAAAGTATAACTAGATCAAGTCAAGCACATACACTTTACAATACACTTATTTCACATGAGTCAATGTCATTTCATCTTCCAAATTGGGCTAAAAAAATTTTAATCGATAAAGAATTTCTAAAGTCTGTTGCACTCAGTGTTCATACAAGAAATTATAATGACACATTAAAAAAAATGAATGCTGGTAAATTTAAAAATTCTACTTATTTTTTACATTCAGAGAAAAAATATAAAATATTTCTCTGGTTGTATATTAATTTATTTATATTATAGAATTACAGGAAAGTGGTCAACAGTGAATCATTTTACTTTTTGAAAGACGATTTTTAAAAAAGTACTAAATTCTAAATATAAATTATATTTACATATACTGACTTAATTATATTTAGAGATTAGTTAAAAAAAATTTTTAATCATTTTTGAGAAAACTAAAATGATCCACTGTTGACCACTCTTTCATATTGTATATAAAAAAATTTTTAGAAATTTTAATACTATTTTCTGTTGTTTTAGGGACACTTTTAAGAAAAATGACATATGACATGATTTCAAAAAAAATGGGAAATTTAGAAAAAGGAAAAAAAATTAATCTTTATAGTGCTCATGATTCGAATGTGGCATCACATCTTCTTGCTCTTGGAGTAACAAAACCACATCAACCTTATTATACCAGTTCAGTAATTTTAGAATTATACTGCGATAATGAAAAAAACTATTACGTACAGGTAAAAGAAATAAGTATATATCAATAAATTAAAATTATAACATCAATTTATTTATTTAATTTAAACAAAAAAAAAAAATCTTTAATTATGATTGTATCCGTTTTCACTATTTTTTCATTTTGAATTTTTTTTTTTTCATTTTAGGTTGTACATTACAAGGGACATTCAGAAAAAATAAAAATTCTACAAATACCAAATTGTACTTCTAATAAATACAATATGTGTAAATTCAATGATTATTTGAAGTCAGTGGAAAAAGTAATACCCACAGAAGATGAAATGAAATGCACATAGTTGTTAAAAAATGTATTTTTTTAAATTAAACTTAATTTAAATAAATTAATCCTTTATTAATATTTACACTAAAATATATGAAATATTAACAATAAAAAACTTGTATTTAATTTTTAAAGAGATTCGATATTTAAATATTTTTAAGATATAATAAAAATCTCCTTGAAAAGTTTTTTAAACTTAAAAATATTCTAACAGTTTTATTTATTTGATTCTATAGATTCTTTATTGAATTTCAAATTGAATATTCTAATAAAAGTAAATATATATTTCTGATAGAAATATAAATCAATAATAATGATAAATAGTTTATTAATAATTGCAAGAAATATGAATGTCTTGATTAGTAAATATAATAATTTAGGTTACAAAAAGATTTTAGTTATTGCATTAAGTTGAAAATAACACGATCCACACTGCTTTGCTCACATTATAGTCCGTTCAGGACTCAGTACTAGACTCGAGTAGAACTCATTCCAAGAAGCGCCTACCGATATGTTCATCTGCTTTGCACCGCCTATAAGCAAGCATATGAACCTTAATACGTAAAGTCTATTAACGTGTTTTTCCCCTTTTATCATTCATTTTTAAATTTTTCATCGTGGATCGGGAAAGGTAGACTACTTTAGGAATAAGACTTAAATTACAAGTATTGAATTATTATTATATTATTTATAATATAATAAATTTGAACATAATTAAATTTTTAAATTTATTTATAATATTATCATGTTAAATTACAAATTTTTAGTAATAAAAATATTAACAAGGATTAAATTAGACTTTAATATTAATTATTATTATTTATTACAATTATGATAATAATAATAAATAATAACATACATTAATATATTAACAATAATAATAATAATAATAATTATTATTATGTTGTTGTTCTACATTGTTGTTGTTGTTGATGTTGTTCTAGTAGTAGTTCTAGTAGTAGTTGTTCTACATTGTTGTTGTTGATGTTCCAGTGAAAAGTTTTAGTAGTAGTTGTTCTACATTATCTCTATCATCATCATCATCATTATCTGTTTCATCCTCTTTCTGAAAATCTCTTTCTTCTTGCTCAAAACAAAAATTTAAATTTAAAATTTTTTTTGAAAATTAAAAATAATAAAACAACAATGAAATCAATAGTTAATAAATTTTTAAACGAAAAATAAAAATAAATGTAGGTATGTTTTTACTTCTTTATGTATTTTTGAACCATCAGACAACGTATTAGTCATTTTGGTCTGAAATTTAAGGAATTAAAATTATGTATTTAATGACAAGTCATCAATTTTGCTTCGTCGTGGAGGAAGCTTTGTAGTCCTTTCGTTTATAAAACTTTTCAAAGTGGCGGAAACAAATTTTTTTCTTTATAGAAACATGTTATATGAGATCCTGATCAATTGTCCGGATGTATGTATGTGTCTGTGTATGTGTGTGTGTGTGTTTGTGGGTGGATCCCTTTTTTGTTTAGAAGATAACTTTTACAGGTTTTAATGGATTTAGATAAAATTTAGTAGGCTCATTTATCATATTAATATCTCAAATCTGACCAAAGGATTTTGAAAAATACTCCAAAAAAAAATTTTATGGTCTTTTTTCTAAAAATTTTTTTTTACTCGAAAAAATTTTTAAATAGAAAAATTTAAGGTTATATATAATAAAATCGTATTCTTTACGTCAAGACGAATCGATCGATATATATAAAGTATTCATTTGAGGTAAATTTAAAGAATTAATGAAAGTTAAAAAATCAAAATTTCACATTTTGGTTATAAAATTTTGTGATTTTTTAAATTGAAGTTTATATATGAAATAATTGTATTCCTTACGTAAAAGAAGAATCGAACGATATATAAAGTATACAATTGAGGTAAATTTAAAGAATTAAGGAAAGTTAAAAAATCAAAAATTCACATTTTGTCAATAAAATTTAGCTTTCTCCACGAGGAAGCAAATTTTTTTGCTGATCGTAAAGAGGAAGCAAAATGTTCATGTAATGAACATCTGAATTTACAACTTTTTGGTATGTTTTTTATGCTTTTGAATTGGTTTTTGGTCATAAAAAGGGTCTTCCTCTACTCGAATCTAGGAGTCAATTTTTTTCTACACTTTTCGGTGTATTCTGTGCAAGAATATGGAATAAAAACGTCTGCCTAAGAAAAATTGAATTTTTTTGGAAAGCTTTTTATGCCTTTGAATGCTGTAAATTTACGAAGCTAGTTTTGTGTTAAATTGATTAATTCTTAGCAAATTGTGAAAGTTGATTGATAAAAAAAATAAAACACATTTAGGACACTAATTTACAATTTTATTTAAATAACAGGACTTTTTAATATTAATTACAATTGAATTTATAAGAAAGAAAGCCAAAGCAACGCCTCAAATATTACAATTAGATAAATGTCTTTCGTCAAATTAGTCAGTGTTTATGTTTTCGATATGCCAGCCCGGAGAGTACTGGTCTTAAATTCCTTTTCGTTTATCACTCATTCTTCGTACATTTTCGTACTTGATCGTCATTTCATACTCACATTTTATTTCACACATTTACGCAGTAACAAATGCGTTTTTGGTCATAAAAAGGGTCTTCCTCTACTCGGATTTGGGTGTCAATTTTTTTCTACACTTTTCGGTGTATTTTGTGCAAGAATATGCAATAAAAACGTCTGCCTAAGAAAAATTGAATTTTTTTGGAAAGCTTTTTATGCCTTTCAATGCGTTTTTGGTCATAAAAAGAGTCTTCCTCTACTCGGATCTGGGTGTCAATTTTTCGCTACACTTTTCGGTGTATTTTGTGCAAGAATATGCAATAAAATCGTCTGCCTAAGAAAAGTTGAATTTTTTTGGAAAGTTTTTTATGCTTTTGGATGCGTTTTTGGTCATAAAAAGGGTCTACCTCTACTCGGATCTGGGTGTCAATTTTTTTCTACACTTTTCGGTGTATTTTGTGCAAGAATATGCAATAAAATCGTCTGCCTAAGAAAAATTGAATTTTTTTGGATAGTTTTTTATGCTTTTGGATGCGTTTTTGGTCATAAAAAGGGTCTTCCTCTACTCGGATCTGGGTGTCATTTTTTTGCTACACTTTTCGGTGTATTTTGTGCAAGAATATGTAATAAAAACGTCTGCCTAAGAAAAATTGAATTTTTTTGGAAAGCTTTTTATGCTTTTGGATGCGTTTTTGGTCATAAAAAGGGTCTTCCTCTACTCGGATTTGGGTGTCAATTTTTTTCTACACTTTTCGGTGTATTTTGTGCAAGAATATGCAATAAAAACGTCTGCCTAAGAAAAATTGAATTTTTTTGGAAAGATTTTTATGCTTTTGGATGCGTTTTTGGTCATAAAAAGGGTCTTCCTCTACTCGGATCTGGGTGTCAATTTTTTTCTACACTTTGCGGTGTATTTTGTGGAAGAATATGCAATAAAAACGTCTGCCTAAGAAAAATTGAATTTTTTTGGAAAGCTTTTTATTCTTTTGAATGCGTTTTTGGTCATAAAAAGGGTTTTCCTCTACTCGGATTAGGGTGTCAATTTTTTTCTACACTTTTCGGTGTATTTTGTGCAAGAATATGCAATAAAATTGTCTGCCTAAGAAAAATTGAAAAAGGCCTTATACGGTCCCAAACAGGCAGCTCGAGTCTGGCATAGACATCTAGACAGAGTGTTACGTCCCGAGCTGAACGCGTTTTTAATTTTATTTGTTGTTTTTAATTTTCTTCGGAAATTAGCTGATTTATCAAGTTGGTAAGACTTGACATTTATTTTTACGTGGGTTGTTTTCACTTTAACAAAACTATGGGTTTTGCGTTACAATAACAAGGCTGATAACTCCCATTTATGATATTTATTGGTTAACAATTTATTTATTACAATGTTTTAATACAATGTTATATTTACTTACTTTGACAATTATCGCAGTTAATCAATCGTACACAGCTTAGTCGTTATAATTTGTTTATTCAATCAGTTGAGTTTCAATTGAATGAAACTATAAGTTCGTTATATCACTTTGGTAACAAAACGACTTTTATGCTTTATTACAGTGGTTTTTAAGCTCATACACTTATTTCGCGTTGTTTGATTGACACTTGAAGCTATAAGAAAAGAAACTTGTTTCTTTAAGTGCAGGAAAAGCAACTCGCAAAATTAATGTAATGTAACTTTATTAGTTAAACCCCTAATATACGACAATTAATTCAATTTTGTTAATATTTCTAAGCGTTAATGTTGCTTTTCTTGCACCTTCAGAAGGAAAGAAACTTGTTTCTAAGTGAAAAACAATTTAACTTGCACCGAAACACGGAAAGAATACAATAACTTTTATAGAATAATTGAAGGGTCGCTCTACGACACACGATGGAAATCTTATCGGAACTTATGACATCTACAATGGTAATTTCTTAGGTTTATATAGCAATTAAGAACCACTAGAATGGGGATGAAATCGGAAAAAGCACGCACTTGAGCCAAAATCTAGAAGTCACGTTTTCTCGCCGATTTCTAGAAAGCACGTACTTCTGCCGATTTCTAGAAAGCACGTACAGAGTATCATGTTTCTCTTGGTGTATGTGTTCTCGATCGTAGAGCAAGACCAATGATGATTCTTTTTAATAATCATTGATCTCATTACGATCGTCATTGTTTAATAAAAGTTACAACCCTCTCGCGATATAAACTAATCTACCTTTATGTATATAATTGATTATATATCTATCAGGCCTGATATACATACACACATATACACATACGTATACACACATACACATACATACATATACATATATACATATATATTACGTATACATACACATACGTACACATTGTTTATTGGTGTACAATCATTTACCCTATTGTTTTTGAATTTGAACTTTTTATATTACCGACCATAGTTTTAACTAATTGCAGTAACCGGTTATTTATCATACGCGTAGATAATATACCGACTACTGTTTAATTATCCATGTAAGTTAGTTCTCGTTCAATACAATAATCAATTGTTTTCTAATTTTTATTGCTGTATCTTTATAATATATAACTACAATTGATTATTATATAAAATATTAGACTTTTATATCGTTTAATTAACAAAATAATAAGCAAACGCACTTATTTTCTATTATAATTTTAATAATGTAGAATGTTCTTTAAATAGTACTTATATATGTGATGACAT